TGGAATGTATTATATATTTTTAAATTTAAAAATTTAATTATTACTTGATTTTTGATAATGTGTTAATACCTTACTATTGAATTTGAAACCTGAAGTGTAGGGATGGGGTAATTTTCCCTTTCACTTATAGGTTGTTGAATATCAAAAGTGGCTCAAACAATTTGATAGTATTAGACAAAATCGCCAAGGGTAATTGAAAATTAAAGGAGAAAATGGTCACTTGCGGAAATTCGGTCGGTAATCGCCAATAATATGATTATTTGAGATTCTGATTCCAATCAATATCTAGTGGTAATTCAGAACATTACAGTTGTTATCATTGACACAACTTAGTTAAAGATAATGATATTATCGAAAATCACCGACGATGCTTTAGTTATCGACGAAAGGCCATTGATTATTATCAATAGAATAATTATTGGTAATTTTCCTTTCTTAGAGATTATCGACTGAAATGTTGTCTGTAATGTTGTTAGTTATAATCAATGATGCTTCAGTCACCGACAAGAGGTTGTCGCTTACTCAAAAATTCGTTCTTTCTTGTGTGTGTGTGTTTTTTTTTCCCGCAAGATAGTGATAGATAAATCAAAGGGTAATTTTATTACCATAACAAAATTTACTTACTACACGACATTATAATACACTACAATTAAAATACATTTTCAATAAATATACAACAACAAAATTACAATTATATTCCTATCCAATATATACAGCAAACCACGACAAATTTACAATTAATACACCACAACAATGCTTTATTTCCATTTCAATCTCAAATACTCTCAAAATATTCTTAAAAAATACACTACATTCAGATATCACTTACAAAAACCAATGGTTAATGATTTGTTATCAATTCACATTTTTAAAACCTCCCGAGACACAACACAAGCAAAATTAGAGTTACAATGGTGGGTTTATGGTGGTAGAGGTGCCATCTTCATCTCTAACGCCTCAAACGGAAACTCAAACCCAACCCCAACCCCAACCCAATCCTAACCATACAGATCCTTAAACAAGAAACTCGGGACGTTGGAAGAGAGCAAATTAATGGAGAGGGCAAAGATGCAACCTGGGTCTCTTGATGTTGATTCAATTGACAATCAAAAGCCAGAATCTTCATGAAGAAAGTTTTTTTTTTTTTTTCATGGTCCCTAAAATGAAAAGAGGGAAGAAGCCAGCCTGAGTAAATGGCAGTAAGCTGTTGGGTAGTTAAACATCCTTTGGAAAGCCATCAGAAACTGTGACAGGATAATGTTACTTGACATAATGCAGATTGGGCTTCAGCATGAACAAAAATTGTTGATCTCACGAATTGGACCTTCCACGTGGCCAATCGAGAGTCACTCCACGTGTTCTTCCCTGCGCATAAGAGCAAATGATCAGACAAACACTACTGATACTAGCAATAGTGGTGGCGGCGCATACATTCCGACAGTCTAGTCAGTGGACGGTGATAGAGGCAGTGCCGGAATTGTGCAAGAGTGTGGAGAAGAGAATATATGTTACTTGGTTATGGAGTGCCTAGAATTAGAAAGATTACATTTGTCTCTTCTAAACCTTTGGTATTTATAGGCAAACGGCACCGCTGGAGGTGAGACACGTGTATGCATCTGACGATATGAGGCGTCTACTCGTAAGCATCAATAAGCTGCATCCTAGGAGGCAGGTAATTAATTCTTCTTATGTGTGAGTTGACATAAGGGTCGCATCAATCATTCTATAAAGATAAGGGATCCTGACATAGAGATACATCTCTGAAACTGGCGACGAAGGGGCCTCTACACTCCTCTGCCGTATGGTGCCTCGTCTTCTCAAACTTCGGTATCAAAGGATGCCTCGGATAATATTAGTTTGGTAGTGCCTGTGCCTTACAGCTCGTCGACTTAAGGTTTGGGTGAGGACTATATCACTTCGGTGACACCTCAACTTGATACGTGGCACCTCACTGGAGAGTGGACCTAACACTCTGAGGTTGTTAGTGAGGGCGTTACAGTGGTCCCCCAAGTTCAGGGATGAATTTTTATATCATTCGTTGAATTTTTGACCAGTTGTGTATGATTGCCGTTCTAAGTGTGATTGATTGTCTTGAAGTTTATAAAGCTTTTTGCAAAGCTTTGATCGAGGCACGACCCACAAGGGACTACACGTTGTGAGGGCTGAAACTTTGTTGAGTTGAAGGACTCATCTTTGACCGATGCGCTGACCCATAAGGGTCGACGCTTGGGAGATGACTTGAATTTGTGAAGTTGTTTGCCGTATGGTGCCTTGTCTCCTCACACTTCTGTATCAAAGGATGCCTCAGATAATATCACTTTGGTATTGTTTGTGCCTCACAGCATGTCGACTTGAGGTTCGAGTGAGGAGTATATCACTTCGGTGACACCTCGACTTGACACGTGGCACCTCGCTGGAGAGTGGACCTGATGCGTCAAGGTCGCTAGTAAGGGGTGTAACAGTGGTCCTCCCAAGTTTAGGGATGGATTTTTATATCATTCGAGGACTTTTTGTCAGGTTGTATATGGTCGCCGTTCTCAGTGTAATTGATTGTCTTGAAGCTTTGTAAAGCTTTTTGCAAAGCTTTAACTGAGGCACTGACCCACAGGGGATTACACATCGAGAGGGTTGAAATTTTGTTAAATTGAGAGGCTCATCTTTGACAGATGCATTGACCCCCAAGGGATGATGCTTAAGAGATGGCTTGAATTTGTAAAGCTGTTTGAAGACTGATGTAGGAGAGTTGTGACGCTGGTTGATAGAGAAGCTCATCTTCGAACGATGCGCTGACCTACATGGAACAACGCTTGGGAGATGTCTTGAAGCTTTATAAAGCTTTTGCAATGCTTCAATCGAGGCATTAACCCATAGGGGACTACGCATCAGGAGGGTTGAAACTTTGTAAAGTTGAGGAACACATATTCGACCAAGGCGCTAACCCATAAGGGACAACGCTTGGAAGATGGCTTAAAGTTTTGTAAAACTTTTGCAATGCTTCGACCGAGGTGCTAACCTATAGAGGACTGCGTATCGGGAGGGTTAAAACTTTGTAAAGTTGAGAAGCACATCTTTGATCGAGGCACTGACCCATAAGGAATGACGCTTAGGAGATGGCTTAAAGCTTTGTAAAGCTTTTACAACGCTTCGATCGAGGCACTAACCCATAAAGAACTATGTGTCGAGAGGGTTGAAACTTTGTAAAGCTGAGGAGTTCTACTCTGAAGCATGTACATAGAGTCTTGAATGATGTAACAACCATCACATTTTTCCAAGGAGGACAGTTGGATGTGACGCCTATCCCAAGAAAAGGCTGCTGCTGCTAATTATGGAAAACAACCGTTGAAGCTCGAGGCGACGCATTTAGGGATTGCGTGAGAGTTATATCTAGATCTTAGGCGTTGATCAAAGCTGACGTTTCATTTCAATGGTCAAAATTGGAGATGCGATTAACGACCCAATTCTACAATGTTTTGAATTGGACTGTTGAGATCGTTCTAAGTTTCATATAAAAGTCTTGCCCTTGCTATACGAAGGTATTTAACTTTGGTAACTCAAAAATCTTGCACTCATATTTTTGATGATTTTCGACGAGATCTTTGCAACTTCCACATTTTTCGGCCACCCTTCGACGTTCTTCAAGTTTTTTAGTTACTTTCGTGGAGTCCATTCGACTTTTTCGACAAAAAAGCCCATTTTCAATCAACTCTTGTAAGTATTACCCAAGTTTTCCACCTTCTTCATCATACAAAATGGCTTCTGAGGGTAGTGGGTCTTCTGGGGGGGATTCAAAGATCGTTAGGGTAGATGAGCTGATGCTGGCTACTTCGATCGAGTTGTTCGAGGCAATTTTAAGGGAAAAACATCTAGAGACGACCAGACAGTCACACAGACAATTTTTTGTGCATCGGGGACATCTGATTACCCTTTAAAATTGAAATCTGCCAACCTAGCAAGACTTAGGACTGAATATAGGATCCTAGATAGTGTGGGCTTAATACTGTCGGAGCCAGATGATCAAGCTTACTACACAAGGTCGGGATTCGTGACTATTAGTGAGGCCATCCTTAGGATGGGGCTTACGTTACCCATCCATCCCTTCTTTCGCTACGTCCTTAGGTCCTATGGTCTTGCCCTAACCCAACTCAATCCAAACCTTTCGAGTCGGATGGTGGGGTTGTGGATGTTGTGGAAGGAAGCGTCCTATGGGTGGAGATGCCCTTCTCCATCTTCCAAACCTTTTACATACCTAAGGTAGCAATGGGGGGTGACAAGACCAGGGGATGGTATTATTTGACTTCTTTGAGGGCCCATAGTCCATTCATTCTTGACTTGTCGAGCTCCATTAAAGATTGGAAGAGTTCGTGGTGCTGAAATTTCAGAAGTGGGATACAATAGTGGGAGGACCCCCTGGCACCCCTGATAGCACCAACTAAGTATTCAACTCTTAATGAATACTGAAACTTTGGATTTACATGCATATTCATTTAGTTCAGTTCGGATTCTAACCCTTACTTTTTTCTATAGGTACTGTTCATCGGTGTGAATTGTCCACTAAGGACTTTGACACCATTTTCATCGTGTACTAGCTCACTATGAATTGGAGATCTTATAACGAGCTAATAAGGAAAAACATCCACTTCGACACCCACAATTGATGGCTTTCTAGGGTAAGCTTTCTGAAGTAGTTTCATTATACTTGGTGTCCGAAGTCGTTATACTTGGTGCTAATCTTTTTGTTCTCTGTTGGAAATGACTTCAATAAGACGAGGCCTGACTTTGCTACCATCCAGAGGATGATGGCCGAGGCTAGAACATTGAAGACCTCCTCCTCGACCTATAAAAAGCAAATCGAGGACCTAGTGACTTCGAGCAAAAAGTTCCAACCTGTTGGGGACGAGGAGGAGGAGAAAGAGGTCCAGGCTTTCCTGCTGAAGAAGGGGAAGCAAGTAGCAAGGCCATCAACAAAGGGCCATACTATGGCTAGGACTATCACACATTAGATGACGATCCCAACCAGGGTTGTAATAAGGGAGGAGGTGGCGCCTACGCCCAATGCTGTTTCAGCTATAGCAACTTCCACCCCGGTCTTGGCTATTCCTTTGGCTCAAGTTCTGGAGCAGCTGAGGAGGAAGAGAGCTCGCTCAAAAAATGAGGTTGATTTTTTGGGCATCAACACCGAGGAGCCCGTGAAGGAAGTGTTGGAGGCCTTGTCTCGTGAAACTACAGCTGTGGCGATGGTCCACAGCAGGTATTGGACCGAGGAGTGGGGGGATCACACTTCATCCTACACTGTCGAGGACCTTGTTGCTGCAAATGGCGCTTGTATCACCTGGGCACTTAGCACTAGTGCCCAACTGGAGGGCCTAATAAAGGACCTTAGGGCGAAGAACATGCAAAATATTTTTCTGTCATACTTGATTGTACTCCATATGCAAGTCATGAGGAGCAAATGTCTCTAGTGATACGATGCGTGGACGATTCACTAAACTTCTCAATAGTACAAGAATATTGGATTGGATTTTTAAATGTGGGTGATATATCAGGAGTTGGACTTTTCAGTGAGCTTAAAAATGTATTAAGAAATCCTAAGCTTGATATTGATGATATAAGACGTCAGTGGTATGATAATGGAGCTAACATGAGTGGAAGACATAAAGGTGTGCAAAGAAGGTTACTTGAAATAAACGCTAGAGCATTCTATACTCCATGTTGTTGTTATAGCCTTAATCTAGCATTATTTGATATGGTAAATTGTTGTTCTAAAGCTATGTCCTTCTTTGGAGTGATACAACGCATTTACACATTGTTCTCTTATTCTCCCAAGCGATGGAAAATTTTTAAAGATAAAGTTGAAGGTTTGATATTTAAGCCATTATCACAAACACGTTGGGAAAGTCATATGGAAAGTGTTAGGCCTATAAAAGAGCAATCTGTACAAATAAGATATGCTTTCCTTGACTTGGCAAACATTGCTAAAGATCCTAAAATAAAGAGAAAAGCTGAGTCCTTAGCAATATATGAACTTGAAAATTTTGAGTTCTTGCTTGGCATGGTCATTTGATATAAGTTGTTGACTAAAATAAATACTGTAAGTAAATTTTTCAAGCCGAAGACATGGATATTGAAGAAGCCATCAAGATTTTATGAGCACTTATTTTGTTTCTTGAAAAGAATAGAGAATCTGGATTTGTTAGTGCCATGGATGAAGCTAAACAAATCCCAAGTGAAATGGCAATTTAGGCTGCATTTAGAGAGAAACACAGCATTCAAAGAAAGATGTAGTTTGACGAAAGTGGCAATGAAGAGGTAAAATCTTTTCGAATTGATTATTTTCTCTTTATAATTGATCGAGCTCGATCTTTACTTCAAACTCGTTTTGAACAATTTAAATATTATGAAGAGACATTTGGATTTTTGTTCAATTTGGAGAAATTAAACAAAATGGATGTTAGTAGTTTATTGAAATCTTATGAGAATCTTGATCAGTATTTGAAACATAATGGACATTCAGACATTATTGGTGATGACTTATGTACGGAGTTGACAGCCTTGAAGTGCTATTTGCCTAAAGAAACAAAAAGAGCAATTGATGTGCTAAATTGCTTAGAGAAGATGAATGGTTGTTTTCCAAACGATTGATTGCTTACAAGATTTTGCTTGCTATACTAGTTACTGTTGCATCGGCAGAAAAAATTTCTCTAAGTTGAAATTGATTAAAACTTATCTTTGATCAACTATGTCACAGCAAAGATTGAATGGATTGACCATGTTATCCATTGAAAAAGAAGTGATTCAACAACTTGACTACAAAAAACTGATTGATATTTTTGCCTCAAAATATATAAGACGGGTTGCATTTAAGTGATCGTTTAGAACATCTTTTGCATTTTTATTTGACTGTAGAATAAATATTTTGATTATCTCATTTTAATTGATACTTTATTGTTGATTTTAAATTAAAAAATTTAGTCTCGTAAAACTCTTATAAATGAAAAAATGGATTGTTTGCTATGACTTAAGAGCCTGAATTCTGAAGTTTGCCTCAGGCCTCGCAAAACACAGGTACGACACTGCACTGATGAGGCATCATTTTCTCTGCCATGTCTTCGATCTGATAAGTTTCAAGTCGGAATTTCTTAATGATGCGATAAGGCCCTTCCCAGTTCGGTCCTAGCACTTCAGAACCTGTTGGTTTTGTTGCTGGGAAGACCTTCCTAAGTACCAGGTCTCCTAAATGTAGAGTTCGGTTCCTGAACTTTGCATTGCAGTAACGGGGTCATCTTTCTTTGATATGTGGCCAGCTTAACTCGGGGAGAATCCTTTTTTTCCTCCAGTAGATGGAGTTTCCATACTCGTGCTTCGTCATTGCTGATCTCGTTGAAGTGTATGAGATGATGCGAAGAGACTCCAACCTCAACTGGGCTCATGGCTTCTGCTCCGTAGGTCATGCAGAATGAGGTCTCCACTATTGCAGTTCGGCTCGTATTACGGATGGCCCAGAAGACATGGGAAAGCTCATCGACCCATATTCCTTTCGAGGCATCAAGTTTCCTTTTCAAGGTGTGCTTGATTGTTTTGTTCACTACCTCAGCCTGCCCATTCGCTTGGGGTGATGAGGTGTTGAGAAGTCCTTCCTTATACCCAAAACGTTACACGAATCTCCAATCTTCCCATTTCGAACACAAGGGAGTGGAGAATGCCAAACCTACAAATGATGTGTTTCTAGACGAACTCTATAGTGTTCGTATCTGTGATTTTAGCCAGAGGCTTAGTTTTGACCCACTTGATGAGGTAGTCAATAGCTACAATGGCAAAAGTTGCGCTTCCTCTCCCTTTCTAGAGGGGACCAATGAAATTTATTCCCTACCTGGCAATCGGCCAGGGGCTAGTGACTACAGAGAGGCTCCAGGAAGGCTGTCTTTGAACATTGGAGAACTGTTGCTGGTCACATTTTTGAACTGGTACAAATCATTTTTCAGGGTTGGCTAGAAATAGCTTTACAGAAGTACTTTATGGGTTAGAGCCGTTCCTTCAGAGTAGTTTCCACATACTCCTCGTGGATCTCCCTTAATATGTACACAACTTCTTCTTAAAGATGACATGAAACCTCTTTTGTATAGCACAGCATCCTAGAGGATGAAATAAGCAGCCCTTCTCCTCAACCTTTTGGCCTCGTTCTTCGAACCTTGTACTAATTGGTCTTTGAGGTAGGCTATGATAAGTTGTATTCAGGATGGGATACCTTCAATCCACATCACCTCTTCGTCCCCGACAATGGAGGGCTTCAGAACACGCTCAATTAGAACAATCTTCAATAGCTCGAAATCCTTACTACTGGCCAGTTTGGATAGGACATCTGCATGAGTGTTCTCAAGCATGGGACCTGCACTAGTTCGAACTTCTTGAAGTGTAGAATGAAGCTCAAAACTAACTTCAAATAAGCAGCCATGCCACTGTCCTTGGCTGCGAATCTTTTATTGACCTGACTTACTACAAGCTGTGAATCACTGCTAGCTAGGAGTCGTTTGACTTACATTTCTTTGCCCAGCCTAACGCCTACTAAGAGGGCCTCATACTCGACAACGTTGTTCAAGGCTTTCAAACCTGATTGCACAGTTTAGTTTATGACCTTCTGGGCTTTTTAGAACAACCCCCGTCCCTGAATCGACCTCTCCAAATGAACCGTCCACAAAGAGGTTCCATATAGGGGCCCTGCTAGTTCCATGGTCGCCTCCATTTTTGGAGCTTTGACAAACTTCGTTACAAAATCTGCTAGGGTTTGTCCCTAGATTCACTTTGGGCTTGAAAAGTACGTCGAACTCACTGAGCTCGATTAGTCATTTTAATATGTCTTCTGTAGCACTTGTTTGAGCCAAAAATTGGTTAGAACTACAATGGATTAAGCCTAGAAGTATGACCTCAGTTTCCTTGATCCGGTGATAAAGAAAAGAGCAAGCTTCTCTATGTCTGGACAACGAGCTTCGACTAACAATAAGGCCTTGCTAATGTAGTATACCAACAGTTGACGCGTCTCTTCTTCTCTGACGAGGACCGCCCTAACTGCCTCCTTCGAGACTGCCAAATACAATAGAAGGGGCTCGAGCAGTTTAGACTTTAACAATAGGAGTGCTTCTCCTAAGTGCTCTTCAATGCCTAGAAGGCTGCCTAGCATTCTTCCGTCCATTGGAACTTTTTTCCATGCTTCAAAATCTTGAAAAAGGGTAAACTTTTATCTGGGGCCTTTAAGGTGAAGCGGCTAAGTGCAAAGATTCGCTCATTAAGGCTTTGCACCTCTTTCAAATTCTGAGGTGATCTCATATCTAACAATGCCTTTATTTTTTCAGGTTTTGCTTCAATTTCCCTTTGATTGACAATATAACCTAAAAACTGACTCGATGCTACTCCAAAGTGCACTTCAGTGTGTTTAAAGTCATTTTCTATTTTCTCAAACTTTGAAATGTGTTGTCGAGGTAACTTATATATCCTTTGAGATTTCTCACCAGTATATCGTCTACGTAGACTTTCATGATTTTCCCAATGAGTCAGCAAACATAATGTTAACTAGCCTCTGGTAGGTGGTACCTGCATTCTTTAATCCAAAGGGCATTACTTTGTAGCAGTACAATCCTCTATCTGTGATGAACGAGGTAGCCTTTTCATCAGCTCGAAACATGGGGATCTGGTTATACCCCGAGTATGCATCCATGAAGCTCAAGAGTTTATGTTCGACATATAGTCCACAAGTTGGTTTATCCTTGGGAGGGGGAAGCTATCCTTTGGGCAAGCTCTGTTTAAGTTGGTGAAGTCAACCTATACCCTCTACTTTCCATTAGGTTTCTTTACCAGGACAGGGTTGGATACCTACTTTAGGTAGATGGCCTCTCTGATGAAGTCATTGCAACTCAGTTTGTCAACTTCCTCTTTAAGCACTTCATATCTCTCTAGGTTGAGGGCTCGTCTCTTTTGTCGATGTGATCTATAGGTAGGGTTAATATTCAAGTGATGATAGCTAACCCTTGGGTCTATTCCCACCATATCCTCATCTTTCTATGCAAAGACGTCCAAGATCTTTTGTAGAAAGTTTATTATTCCTCTCTGATCTCAAGAGGCAGTGCTTTCCCTATTCATAAGACCTGAGTGGGGTCTTGAGAGTTGGCAAGAAAGCTATCCAATTCTTCCATTGGATTTGCGCTCGGATCAAATTCAATGATTCGAGGATTCAATTCATCTAGAGGATGCCCTTCTTCAAGGGCTTCGACCATGTCGACGTCTTCCTCCTTTTCGGAGGTATGCCCTTGTTCAGGGGTGTTGAGCATTTCTATATCTACACTGGCTTCGTCTGCAATATCAGTTGTGACAACATTTACAGTACGGGGCTTAGACTTTCACAATGAATAGAGGTAGCATTCTCTTGAGTCCATTTGGTCACCTCGGACTGTGGCAATCCCATGCTCGGTTGAGAACTTCATACATAAGTGGTGAATCGAGGTGATAACCCAAAGCTCCTTTAGGGTAGGCCGGCCTAATACTCCGTGGTAAGCTGATCTATAGTCTACCACTAGGAATTCCATAAGTAGTGGGCCACTAGGGGGCTAATCACATCTCAACAGCTAAAGTTATCCGACCTCGTGGGACGATGTTGTCACCGGTGACTTTGTATAGTGGGTCGGCCATGGGGATTAAGCCATGCTCAATTTGTATTTTATCAAAAGTTGAGCCGAACAGCATGTTCACGGAACTTTCATTGTCAACAAGCATGCACTTCAATCCATTTCAAGCTACTATAGTTCTTACCACCAAAGCATCACAACAAGGATGATGTACACCTCGTGCATCATCTTGGGATAAAGTAATTGGTGCCATCCTATTCGCTTTTTAGAACTGGTTGACAATATAACTAATCATTGGAGGATTCTTTTCCTTCCTAGCATAGTTCTTCTGCGCATTTCGAGGGTTGTCTCCGATATGAGGGCTCCCTATGATTGTGTTTATCTCATGGATTGGCTTGCCTTCAGCTGCCAAAGCCTAATTTCTCTGCCTGGATTCCTCTTGAGTTCTATC